TACTTAATTAGAGAAGTCTTAAAATTTATTTTATTTTAATGTATTTCCCAAATTTATCATACCACTTCTTTATGTATTATTTGTTTCACATTTTCTTTATCTATTATCTATTAAATAATAATTTTACATCAGTAATTAAATGTATTTTTTTCCTTAAACATAATTACCCCACAATTTTTAGGGCATTCCCATGTTCGTCACTTTTCCACTTGCCATTACTTTATTCTCTTTGGCTTCGTCTGCTTTTTTGGCTCCGCTTCCTTTATGACTGCCAAATGCACTCTCCACATGACCAAACTGCCTTAAGCCCCCCTTTCCCCACCCCTGCCATTATTCAAAAAATCCCAAAAGGGGGGGACAGAAAAAGGGAGGGGGAGGAATCGTTTGGAGTTTGAAAAGCTGTTGCCAGTTATTGTCTGGCCCTCAAATGTATGCTCTGTGGCTGTGTGCGACTGGAGATATATATACTGGGTATCTGTATCTGGGTAGTATCCATATCCATAGCCCCCCTTCTCCCAGGGGCTCGCTTTTAGCCAGTGGCTCAGCCATCAATAAATAATAAATTGCCTATAAAACTGATAAATTCATTGATGAATCTTCGAGGGAGTCGGAAAACTCTGCTCCGCAGTTTCCATAACGCGTTTGTCTGACTGCCATATTTGCGGCCACGCCCCTACCGAATTTCCCCTCCTTAAGTGAGTAATGGAAATTCATGGTAATAAATGTATGGATAAAAAGGCGGAGGGCTATGGATTCCAAATGCGGCTTGCACTTTTTGGTGGCATCAGTCTGGGACTCTGCTCCCCTGAAATATATCTCCCGTTTAACCCATCGAAGCCATGGTCATGGACACATGTGCACCCAGAAAAATGTCCTATTTTATAGCAACTGTTTTGTAAGTCAACAAAAAATATGTTTTGAAATTCTACAAATATTTTATTTTATGTTACATTCAAAATAGTGAAATTTAAACAATTATTTTTAATTAATTCAAACTTTAAGAATATATATAAGACATTTTTTTTGACTATATAAGTTTTTTTTTTTATGGGCACCCAATTTTTCTTTGTGTTCGCTTATCTCTTATCTTATGGTTTAAGAGGGTGTGAAATAATAGTAAGCCATCCATTCATGGCATACTTAGAACAGAAATACAGAATCCATTTTGATGTGGCCCAAATCTTTTTTGTTCTGTCAAATTGTAAACATTGATTTATGCTTGTTCTCGGCAAAATTCAGCAGCATTCAGTTTTTGGGAAACGAGAGCAGGAATTGGGCTTCAGTCACTTTGGAGCTTTATTTAGCCAAAAATCAAAAACCCGAAAAAAGGGTTCTAGGAACAATAGAGAGGCTGAAAACTCACAACCATGGGCCAGAAATCCGATTGTTTTTTCACCTGTCAGAGCTTAAGAAGATTACAAATCTGTTGTTTAACTACTCAAAGCCCAATACAAAATTGATGTAAGCAAGGCTTTTTTCAATCTTCTAGAAAACACACTTGCCAAATAAGCTATTTGTTTTTGTAATTCTTCTAAAATTCATAGCACTTTACTGGGGTTTAATCCCCCACAAAAGTTGGTTACCAAAGGCTAATTTTAACTTTAGTAAAGTTAGTATATGATATGAATACAGCTGATTTTCAACCTGTATTAAAGTGTACTTCCGGTTGCCTATTTTGTTTATTTGTTTTTTTGGCGCGTGGTAAATGCCTGAACCATCCATCTCTTCGGCCAGTCAACCATTCATCTATTTTTGATTTACCCCCCCCAAAAGTGCTGCAAAGGAAAATCGCAGACAAACATTATTTCCTGGCCGGTCCTTTTGTTTGGCTTTTTTTTCCAGCCAGCTTTTTGTTAAATGTAATTTTAAGTGACGTCGCCAAAGTTGAGACGTGACAAAATTACAAAATATTTTGTAAGCCCTTAAAACCGTTCATGCTGCTGCCAGGAAAATGGGGAAATGGGAGCAGGACATGGCCATAACATGGCCCATAACAATAAAAACAAATAGAAGCAGCAACAGCAACATAATACTTAATAACGTGCATTTTGATGTTGTCGCGGTTGATGGGAGGACAGGAATTTCCCGGACTTGGAGTTGGATTTGGGTTCGGATGGGGGGATCAGCGAGGGAATCCCCGCCCCGTGTCATTATCCCCATTTCCGGAACAACTTTTGTGCGGGCACATCAAAGGCAGTCTCTCCTTTTATTTTCTGGCAACTTGGACACCAAAATAGTTTTCCTGGCAGCCAAAAACTATTCCAAGAGGCTTCTTCCACAACAAAGTGGCGAACAAACGAAGTAAGAAAAGTTCCCAAAACAGATGCGGGACAAGTCCTTGGACAGTGGTTAAGAAACTAATCGAATAAATAACATTTGAAGATAATTTGAAAAGAAAAAATTAGTATTATCTAACAGAGGTATTATTAAAGGCAAATAAGAATATTTAAATATTTATTAATCCGAACTACTTTATAAAATAATGACCTTATGAAACAGAACGTTCAACTGGAAGATAAATCTAAAAAAAACTAAATATGGTAATTATTATTTGTTAGTTAACAGAAAGTATAATTATAACCAAATAAGAAAATATTTGATTATTTATTCATCCTAACTACTAAATAAAAGAAAGGCCTTATAAAAGGGAAAGACTAGCAATTTAATTTTAATAAAAACGAAATTGGGAAATAATATTTTATGTCTTACAATATGTTGTTAAGTATTAAAATAATAATAATAGATATTTTCATTAAATTTTGCTCCACTGTGGGCAGTCCAGAGCAACGTTGGCATTTCCCCAATTATTATTATTATTACTGTTATTATTTGAGCAACATAATGCATGAATGAAAGGTTTCACACTGCACAATTATATGGGGGGAATCCCCCGAAATGCGAATGTGAATTATACGCAGTGATAAAACACGACTCCGTTTTCATTCCGTGGCATGGCATACGTACTTAAAATCGCAATGAATTGCAGGAAAAACAGGGGCGTGGGGGAAAGAGGAGAAAAGGGGCGGTGGGCTTAACTCCGGTTGTCGTCTGTGGTTTGCTCTTATTATGGCTCAGAAGCGGCAAAAATGATTCCGACATGAATTGCCAAACGGAGAATGCACTCACTAATTAGATGCATAATTAGACATGGAGTTTTCGAGGTTATTTCAAAGGTGGTTAGGTCCTGAAAATGGGCTTGGAGACAACTTTAAAGGTTAAAGTGGCTAGTGTGTATGCATTTAATCTGTTTATGACAGAATAATCTAAAAACGTAAGACTTTAATACTTAAGCTCTAATAAAGGTTTTTCAATTATTTAAACGTGAAACATTTTTACTAAATTTAGAATTTATCAAAACCTCAAAAAAAAAATCAAGTGGATATATACATTTTCAATCAAATATCTATTTATTAAAATTATTATTTTATATTTTATATTATTTTTAAATATTTAAAAATCAAATCTACAAAACTTTACAACGTAACCATTTTTAAATTTTTTTCTAGACCCTATCAAGTAGCTTGAAATATTTTAGATTCCCCATTATGTTGAAACCTTTTTCTTTCCCGGGGCTTCTTTTGTTTTTGACAGGTTCTTTGTGCTGATTTCATTCCGCTCTCAAGTCAGTTTCAATTCCTGGTTTTAGTTCGTGCCAATTGTGTTAACTTCGCATCGAATCGGGCTTAATTGAAGTTCGGTTTCAACTTCCATCGAAGATGCGGCATTGCAGGATGCAGGTTGTAGGTTGCAGCTGGAGCAGGTGCAACCAGAGTCGAAAATGCGAAAAATACTGGGAATAAAGGGAGCTCTAGTGGCCGCCTTTCTCCACTTTCTCTCACTTGGCCGCAGAAAGTTGGGCACGTGCAGAGTGCACGTAGCCGGAAACAAATGACATTGTCAGCGCCCTGGCCCCAAAAACTGAACAATCCTGCCCCTCGACCCCAAACGAACCCCCTTTCTCCCCGCCACTGCCCCTGCTCCGCATCCTGCACCATTTTCCCCGTCGAGAAGAAATCCCAGCTAAGCATTTCCGGTCGCGTTCTGACTTGCCTGCTCCTTTTTCCTTGGCCTCTGCTGTTGCAGTTTTTCCCGCAGTTTTCCCCCCAGTTTTCCCCTCATATGTGTGAGTTTGTGTTTGTGTGGATCTGTGTGTGTGACAAGGCCATTAGCCGCGGCGGCTTTGGCAGCCACAAAAGTTGAGGCGCATCCTTGCAGCTGCCATTTTATGACAGTCTTTTGTTGTCTGCAGCCGGGCTTCTCTTTTTCCCTTTTGGCCAAGCTCCCTTTGCAACACTCGAAAAAAGCGCATTCTCAGCTTGTTAATTAGCAGGAAAGCATTTCTAATTCGAGTAAATAGGAAAAGGAACAATAGCAATGCGCCGAAAATCACATTTTTAAATCATTTTAGCTGTAGATTTAACAGATCTAGTGTTATTTGCTTTGTTTAAATTTGTATGCTCGTATTAACAAAAACAAAGAACTAATAATTATTTTAAAGAAAAACCTTTTATTTATTTCAAACCCTATTTTCATTATTTCGTTAATAAACCATTATTATGAATTAGAATACTAAACAAACAAAGAACTAAAAATGATTTAAATAAATACATATTAATTACTTAAAACAGTTTTAAAACTAATAAAAAATACTTTATTTTTTAGAAAATCCAATCCTTTTAATTTTTAAATTGATGTCATAAAAAATATATATTTAAAATCGTAACTTTTAATTTTGTTTATTTAATGTTGGTTAAACGATAACTTTTACTTTGGAAATATTTATTAATTATTATTAATATTTCCAAAAATGCTTCCAATATTATTTCCAAGTGCATTTGCCAAATTGGCAGCTTGTTTACTGGCACTGCATTGGTTATTAGCAAAGTTACGGACCGACTTGCGTATAAGTCCGATGACAAAGCGGCATTCACATGCCAATTAGTTCGACAAAGGGAGCCGCCTACTGACTCGCTTTTCCCGCTTTTCCATGCATTTTCCAGGTGGCAGCCTGGGCAGCACAGGTGGCAGCGGCATCAATACCGAGTGTCCGACGGACTCGTTCCGCTGCAACAACGGCAAGTGCATCTCGCACCACTGGGTCTGCAATTACCAAAAGGACTGCGACGACGGCGAGGACGAGATGCAGTCGTGCCGTAAGTATTAACCATCCAACCAACCAGAAACTCCACCGTTCTGTGGAAAGTTTGGGGGAAAACCGTAATTAAAATATGAAATTATAGACAGTAATTAAGTGGGCCGTGCGATTCGCCGCCGAAGAAACCGAGGAAGTATTCAAGAGCTCTGCGGTGGCGATTCGCTGAATGGTTTAATCGAATTCCACTCGAGCCATTATCCACAGGAATTTCCGAAATTAATTAAATTGAACGCGTGCTTGTTGAAGATCGGATTCTGATTATGGCAGAAAGTGCTCAATGAAAATGCATTCATGTTACTGTTTTGATTTTTTTAATTGACTCAAGATACGCGTTGAACTTTTGTTGCCTTTGAAGTAACTAACGGAATGTATAAATTATAATTTTAAAAAGTCTTATTAAAAAATCAAAACAGATCTCAATATTTATTAAATATAATATAACGCTTAATGAAAATACTTAAATCTAATTTGAAGTAAAAAACCTTTTTAAAAAGATGTATATTTTGATTTTAAATACGAAATTTTAAAAAGGGACGTTTATAACGGAACGAGATATATATGGAATTAAAAATACAATACGAATTTAAAAGTGCAATACAGTTGATTGTGTTTGTTAATAAAATAGATCGTACTGAATGGGCACCAGTTTCTAAAAATCACAGGATAATATTCTAAACCTAATTTAATTTTAATTTTAAATCAGTTATTTGTAACATATCCCTAACCAAAATTGCAGCCCCACCGGAATGCGAAACGCCCCAACTGAACTGCGGGCAGTATGTGTTCAACAAGACCTATTGCATCCCCCCGCATTACCGTTGCGATATGATCGAGGATTGCGAGGATAAATCGGATGAGGCCCAGTGCAGTGAGTACCATACATCCACTTTATCAATATATATCTAAGCATCAGTTAGCCCCCATGCAATCTCAACGATTCCGAGAATTTTCTTGCTTTGAATGTAAATTTGTTGACTCCACAAATATTGGCTAGCTCATCCTCGTCCTCATCGAAATCCTTTCAAGAGGGTGGTGCCGTAACAATTTGCTAAGCAAAATGTTCGCATTTTATTATGCCAATTTTATTTATGTAAATTTCAACACAGAGATGTTACCGAAGACCGCAGTTCTTGTTTTCCCAACTAAATTACACAAGCGCACAAGTATACGAGAAATATGTACAGACAAAATACAAATACATACCTGAATATGTATATGTATCTGAGGAGAAATATCTGTGAAATCCCCAAGGTAAAGGCCGCAAATTAGCGAGGAAAACTCAAGACGAACAGAAATGGATCAATTTGATGTGGGGCCATAAATCCTTTCCGTGGGCCAGGGGGCTAAGGGTGGAAGGTTAACCCTTTTGCTAGTGGAATTGATGATGGCCGGCCAAAGTTGTTTCCGTTGAGGGCTTCATGGATAGAATCGCAAATGAAGTTCAGTTTTGTTGAGTCGAGTAGAGGGCCCAAAAGCGATGAAAAGTAAGCAGTCTTTGAAATAAAACTCCACTGGGAACTTATGTGTATTTCAAATAAAGTTGGAGTGCAAAGTTGACCCTCGTTTAAAGAAACATTTAAATGTAAGGTATAAGAGACATCAGCCACAAAATCATAGAGAAATTCCACTTGAAAATCGGGATCCAAATACCCAAGTAATGAAAATTGAAAGTATTTGTTTGGGTTCCATTGGAATAAACAGGTTAAAGTTGTGACCCTAGTTTAAAAAACTCATTTTAAAGTAGAATTTTAGAGAATTCTGCGACAAACTCAAAATCGGAATCCTATTACTTAAGTTATGGAATTTAGAAGTTGAGTTTTGGGTTCCTATTCCGAAAACCATTGGAAGTACGGAAAAATCGAACATGAAAGGGTGGTAACATTTTGACCCTCTTTTAAAAGAAAAGTTTTAATGTAGACCATTAGAAAATTCAACCGCAAAATCATAGAGGTATCAACTCCCAAAATCGGTATCCAATTAGCAAAGTTATGGAATTTAGAAGTTGAGTTTTGGGTTCCTATTCCGGAAACCATTGGAAGTACGGAAAAATTGAACATGTAAAGGGGGTAAAATTTGAACCCTCTTTTATAAGAAAAATTTTAATGTTGGCCATTAGAGAATTTAACCACAAACTCATAGAGGTATCAACCTCCAAAATCGGTATCCAATTAGCAAAGTTATGGAATTTAGAAGTTAAGTTTTGGGTTCCTATTCCGGAAACCATTGGAAATACGGAAAAATCGAACATGAAAGGGGGGTAAAATTTTGACCCTCTTTTAAAAGATAAGCTTTAGTGTAGACCATTAGAGAATTTAATAACAAACTCATAGAGGTATCAATCTCCAAAATCGGGATCCAATTGCCCAAGTTATGGAATTTAGAAGTTGAGTTTTGGGTTCCTATTCCGGAAACCATTAGAAATACCGAAAAACCGAACATAAAAATGGGTTAAAATGTAGACCCTCTTTTAAAAGGTATATTTTAGTGTAGATCATTAGAGAATTCAACCACAAATTCATAGAGGTATCAATCTCCAAAATCGGGATCAAATTACCCAAGTTATGGAATTTAGAAGTTGAGTTTTGGGTTCCCATTCCGAAAACCATTGGAAATACGGAAAAATCTAACATGAAAGGGGGGTCAAATTTTGACCCTGTCTTAAAAGGAATATTTTGATGTAGATCGTTAGAGAATTCAACCACATACTCATAGAGGAATCCCACTATAAAATCGGGATCCAATTACCCAAGTTATGTAATTTGGAAGTTCAGTTTTAGGTTCCTGTTCCAAAAACCATTGGAAATACGGAAAAATCGAACATGAAAATGGGTGAAAATTTGTACCCTCTCTAAAAAGGTACATTTTAATGCAGAATATTAGAGAATTCAAGTACAAACTCATAGAGGTATTCCACTTCAAAATCGGGATCGAATAACTAAAGTTATGAAATTTAGAAATGCGGCTTTGGGCTCCCATTCTGCAGATACGGACAAGTAGAACAATTGAGATTTTAGTAATTATTTTGCAGAGAAGGAATTATAAATTATAGTTAAGGCTAATTTGTTTGGTAAGATGAAAACTGGAGCTCAACATTGTGACCCAATTTATTTATTGCTTTGTCTGACAGACATTTTCCTCTCTAAGTGGCTACTTACTTCCTTGACTTTTTCTGGCCAATGATTAATTTTGGCCCCTGGACTTTTGGGTAATATCTATCGCTGAGGACTTTAATAATCCACTGTACTTTTGGCCAACATCCTGCCCCCACTTTCCCAGCACCTCAACTCGAAAGTCTGTTGTCTGCTCGTTGAGCAAAGAATTTAATGCATTTTCAACAGCTCTCGCTCGGTTGGAGTTTGTATAGCCCTCTCTTTCTGCGACTTATCGCGCGCTCTCTTTCGGTGATTTCCCCGCTTTTTCCCTGGCACTTTCCCCCGGACTTTCCTTTTGGCATAAAGTTCAAGTGCATTCAGCCAGCAGACTGTGAGCCGCACATTTTGATTAAAAGTTTGCCGAGTGAGAATCCGAAGAAAAGGAGTCGAGTCCTGCCGCCAAGAGAAAGAGATGAAGATGGAGAATGAGAAAGAGAGGGGGATAGTGGCCAGAGCGGGATGGCAGCATGTCCATGCAAATCGCCGAAAAGTGCCCAAGACTTGTAGAGCATTTATTGCTTGTTATTTAAGATTTATGCACCCGCACACACACTCGCACACTCGCCCACCGACAGGCAAACAAATATTTAAATATCTTTGAGGCGACCAATTTCCAAGTGTCCCGCTTTTCCGCTTTTCCGACTTTCCCGCCTCCCGCCTTCCGCTTTTCCGGCATCCTTTTGTGCAAGTTTAGCTGGCAGCTTTGACGACTCCAACTCTGGTTCCGTGGAAAACGAGGGGGGTGGTGTGAAAATGTGGAAAACGGCTAGACAAACGCTCCACAACTTTGTCCTGCGTTCGCCGTCTCTTTCGCACCAACGCAGCCCGTCCCGCTCGCACATCTAAGCCCAGCTAGGAGGCCAATTTGTCCGCTGAAAACGGGCCTGATCAGTTGGCTATCTGACTTCTTAGCCAGCTTAAATAAATATGTAAAAAGTAATAACTGAAGATATAAGTTCTTGTTCGTTTCCAAACCAAAAATGTTGACAAACTGATTTCAATTGAGCTAATCAAAGTTAAATATTACGAATATCTGATATTTCTATATGATATCTTAACAATTTCAAAAATAACTGAAGATATAAGATATATAATATTCCAAATTATTCGTAAATTTATTGCGTTTGTCTCACATATACATACACATTTTTTTAAAGTTTCTAGGCCTTGTTAAAGTTATCCCTTAACTGTGGTTTTCATACTTCACAATATTAAATAATATTTTAAGACAAATAAGTCTGCTCAAATGAATATTTTTATAAGGGGTCACAAACAAATTGGGACTTTAGAAAAAAGCTTTCAATTGAAGAATAAATAAAAATAGATTGTAATAACTCCTGTTCTGATGATAAATATTGGCTGAAACTATTTTTAGCTACTTTATAAGCAGCTCTGATGGCAAAAAGCAGAAGGGTTGGGTAGATAGTCATTCCATTTTGGGTGCAGAAAGTTTTGCCGGCACAAGATCAAGTTTAAATTTCGTTTTAATTTAATAAGACGTTCGCGTAAAACGAGAGCATGCCCTCTCCTTCCCGCCGTCTGTTGCTGTCTCTTTCTACACACCCTCGCCCTGTTTTGCGTAACTGTTTCTGTCCCTGTCGCACTTTGTTGCACAATAATTTATCGCGCTTAAATGGCGACAAAATGTTCACTCTTATTGCGTTCTTAACAAATTTATTTTGCGTACGTGTCAACGCGTCGTCTTCTTCAGTCAGGGTGACAGTAGTCCCCTTGCTTACCCCCTTTCACGCCGCCCATGGCCCCCGCCCTTGACGCCCCCCTTTATTTGCAAGAGTGTTTGTGTGTCTGCCTTTGTTTGCTTAATTTATGGGATATAAATATTAGAGCGGGCTTATTTCAACTATTTAATTACTTCAGGTGTTGTGCGAACAGGGAGATGGATGTGGATGCGGATGTGGATGCGAATGTGGATGCGGATGTGGATGTGGATGTGGATGCGAATGTGGATGTGAATGAGGATGTGGATGTGGGAAGATGGGGGCTATGCCATCTCGAGATAGTCCACACACATCCAAGATAGCAATGTAGTCAGGTAGTCATAGCGATACAAATTACACACATTTCCCCAGATGTGAGCAATTAAAATCAACAGATTGTTTGTCTGCAAATTCAATTTTTAGGCTTTACATTATATAAAGAGAGTTGCTGAGATATTGAACAGTTTTATCTCTTATGTATTATGTTAAAAACACTTTCAAAATAAACAAAACTTCAAGAAATACTTTAAAAATGAATGAGCACATATGTTTCTATTATAATTTCATATACACTATATAATATAATATAAGATCTTAAATTAAATATGGTTTAATCTTAATAGCTCTCAGCATTTTTTTTAGCATTTCTCATAGTGCAATTATGATTTAGAGCTTGAGGGCATAAGAACACCTCCAAGGCAACTAATATCTGTGAGAACGAACAGCAGACATCTGCTGTGAAAGAAACTTGGAAGTTACCTTCTCCCACTTTTTCGCACCTTTCCACACTTTTGCCCACTTTCCACCCGATTATTTTCGCTTCCGTTTCGCCAGCGTTGCGGTCGCAAGTCAACAAGCTGAAACTGAAGCATAAATAGAGGCTGAAGCACTTTTACTTGTTTACGGCTAAAACAGAGGGGGCTTGGGGAATTTACCGGGAATTTACCTGCAAATTTTCCAGGCGGACATTTCGCTTTTAATTGCAGGCAGCATCTAATGAGGCAGATATAGCTGCGTAAAAAGTGCGTAAAACCAAAAAGAGCGAAGAGCTTAAGCCGTCATTACCAGAGGCCCCTTAAAACAGCCCTACCCCCCCAATACCTGTCCGCCGAACCCAAGTGTTATAGTCACCTCCACTTCATTTAACTGTCCATCCAGTGATGACGACAGAAAAATATATATATATAGTAAATAGGTAAAATGATTTATTATATTCGCCAATTTTTGGTGTTACTTTCAGTTATTTGCAAAACGTATGGGGTTATGCAAGTTTTATTTATGTTACTATATCTTTCTCACTTAGAAATAATTTATTTTAAAAGAATACTATTTTTCATCACCGATAAAAATGTCTAAATAAATATGAAAAATTTATAATCTTTTTAAAATTTGATTTAACTTTTTGGGCTTGCAACTAGTTTTTAAGAGTACCTATTTTTCTGTCTAAAAAATATAATATTCATGGGCCCAGATTATTTCGTTCTGAATTTAATTGAAACATTTGTCCATAATACAAATGGCAATGCATTCAAATTCAGTCTTATAGGTTCTTTTTTAATTTTAATACAACTTAGATGTTTTGGTTGTGTTTTCTATGTTTTTAAAGTAAATCAGGTATCTGTTTTGTAAAACATAAAACATTTGTCCCCAAGCTGACCTCTGTAGCTAACCATTTTTGGCGACTGAAAAGCCAACTTTTCAGCTCTGTTAACTGTCTCATAAACTGTCATCACCCCCCGCCCCTGCTCTTCCTGCAGCCCCCCTTTCTCCGCCCTTTCTCCGCCCTTTCTCCGCCCTTTCTCCGCCTCTTTCTCTGGAGCTTTTCCTCCCTTTCTACGAGTTTCTCTGAGTGGCGACGATTGCAGCTGACGTTTATTTGACTGCAGCTAAACGTGACGGGCGGTGGGCGGTGGGTTGGGTTTTGGGAGGGGGCGTGGCACTTGTCGCGCGTAATTACACACCCCTTCAGTCTCCCCCACCCCCCCTAAGCCCCCGCTTCTTGGCCTTGCTACACGCATAAAAGTCTTGGCTTGCAATAAAAGTTAATGCTGAGAAAACAGCGAGCGAAAGAACCAGAGAACCCAATTAGAAAGTGTTTGGTTAAAATACAAAAAAAAAAAAAACAGAAAAGAGAAATGTAAGAGAAAGGCGGTGGGTGTTGTTTATAAAGTGCCAACAACAATGCAGGAACCCCCTTGCTTTTTGGTTAAAGTTTAGGGCCAAAAGTTTTGCAGCCAAGCGAAAGCCAGTGAAAAATGAGTTAAGAGAAAAGTGTGAAAACTAATCTTAAATTTATAATGCACACTCGATATTTTCTTCAATTAAATCATTGCTATCGAAAACATTTTTTGAAATGCTATTCCTAGCTGCAAGCTTGACCGAAATGCATTGGCCAACGCCCCCCGTTTGTCATTACAATTTGCCTTTAATGCAATGTAAAAGTGCGGAGTGAAATGCGGAGGGAAATGGGAGAAAGCGAGACAGCTAACGAATTTGTAACAAATTGTTTGGCGTAAATCTTTTGGCCAGGCCACGCCCACAAATTGCAAGGGGTCGAAGGATTAGCAGCGGAACATTTTAATGTCAGACAGTCGGGGTGGAGTTATTTCCAGGGGAAAAATCGTGGAAAAACGAGGAAAATGGGCAAAAATAGGGGGGGAAATGGAGGGGCTGCCCCGAGTGCGTGACACATTTTTATGATCACCGGAGTCGCAGGTTCACAAAGTTTCGCTTCCGCTGCTCCACTTTGTCAATAGAAAAAGCAGCAGGGAGCCAACAAAGCAGATAGTTACACAACAAAAATTAAGTTACAATATTAAACAAAAGAAATGGGCAACAAGAAAAAAATTTAAAAACCTTATTCTACAACAACATTTCCTCCGTTTGACTATCCTATTTTTGATAAGTCTTATTTATTGTATTAGTTATACACAAGCATATTATTTATTTTTGAGATTAAAATATGTATAGCCAATGTATTTCCCACTCCACACCTGTTAGATGTAGTGTATATATATTTATTTTTTTCTGCACTGCTTTTACCTGCACTCACACTTGCACACTCTCACACAGACAGGGACACTTACACAGACGCAGCGCAGGATACGCATTCCATTGTTTTGCTTGGAGAAAGTTTTGCGCTGTCGGGGAATATTTATACAACTTGGCTTGTTTAACTTGCACTAATTAAGTTTGCCCTGCCACACTCGGATGCTCCCGTTGGGGTCCCGGTGCCTCCGTGGCCCCCGTTTCCACGCTAATGTTCCGGGATTTAATCGGGGGTATTGGGAGTGCGTTGGGGAGGGGGGATGAATCCCGGCCAGGGAGACAGGGAGACAGCCATAAAATACTCGTTGCCAAGTTTATGATGTCCAGAGACACTGGGAACCGGCATAGATCAACGGGGCGTCCGCCATGCTGGCCAAGACTAAGCTGGAACCCACATGCACCTACAGTGGAAACTCCCCAAGACAACCCATAAACCTAAAACTTTTAATTAAAGACAGCACCTCCTTGTTTTTATTAATCTATTAAGAAGTTTATTCTTTTTAAAACCTTGGGGAGTATATAACAGACGATTTTTAATTTTTATTCAATTTCTACAACATTTATGGATCTTCTAATGAGCTAACAGTAAAATATTACTAAAAATAGTATACCTGAGAAAATTATTCCACCTTAATTTAATACTTTTTCATAAAATAATTATTTTAGAAATATTTAATTTATCGTTGCTCTCATCTATTTAACACAGATTAAAACAAAGAATTTTATTGGGGCACCCAAGATTTAGTATTTATTTTGCTTGTCGCATTACAGGTCCACCCTGATCAAGACAAACATATGTCCCCATCAAAGCCACACATATATCATCTTCTTAAAGCCCCGATTCGCCTGCAGTTGTTCTAATTTAGTCATTCAAATGCACGACTTTCCCTGCTACCTCTTTCTTGTTAACCGAACCCTTGACAGGTCCACACCCTCTTCATCCGCCCTATACCCTGGACATTTGTTTAGGCAGGGTGGATTAGTCCTTAAATATTGAAGTGAAAAAATATTCAGATTAAATGTTTGGGAAAACTAGTTCTCATATATTATCTTGAGTATTTTTACACGGTATTACCATCAATTTTCGGGACTTCCAACTCGTTCAAATTGTGTATTTTCTATAATTTTAAGGGGTATTCTTAGCCGCAACAGTTTCCCTGGCCACATCCCATTTTTGTGTGGCTTTCGGGGGGAGGGTCCTGCAACCAACTACTCGATAATTTATAGCACTTTTGCCTGCCGACACACACAACTCAAGTGCACAATCCGGGGGAGATGGACGGTCGGACGGACGGACGGACGAACGGACAGGCGGACAAACGGACGAGTCGAGCGGACAGACAATCACGCCCGACATTGGTACAGCGGCCATGCATTATGTATACGCCATGCGTGTCCAGCCAGGAGCCACCCCAAACCCGGGGCATCAAAATTTAATGTCTCTGGCAGCACGAATAGTTTTGGCCTGCCATTTTTAAGGCCCTCCCATTAAAATACTGGTTGACTATACATATGTACCTGATGAGCCGAGAAACGACCTCTGTCTTGGACAATTGGTTCCGGTATCCAGGGAAACCCCATTGAGCCATTGGCGCCGCCCCCAAATCGTCCATGAATGGGTCAAGAGCTAAACTCTCAATGCGAATGCAATTAATCACAATGGAGGGTCCCGAAATGAGGTCTAATTGAGTGCAGTCATGTACAGATTATTATCCCAGGGCGTGCCGGGCGAAATAGTCAAGCAATAGGGTGGAACCCTTAAAAATATATCAATTAAGTATGTAATAGAGGTATTTCGATTAGGCAACTAACTATTATTGTTGATGTGGCAGAATTTTGTTGTAGTCTTATTATTAAATCTTAAATTAGCTAAGTTATATGCCCTTGGTGTATTTTCAGAAATCACTACGGAACCACGGAAATCATTTTTAATTGTCATTTATAAGTGACCAAAAGTATGCTGTGATTCCTTTTGAGTTATAAATATATATTGGTGCATGCTTTTAGACACCTAAAATCAATTATGCCGCTGTTTATAATTCAAAGGAAACTTTAATATTTTTGAAGATATTTGATATGCATTGATGGATAGATATAAATATAGATATTTTAATAGATTTAGAATAACTATTGAATAAAAAACAACCCTTAAAGATAACCCTTAAAACAAAAACTAATACTAATACTAATACTTCCTTGGATTTTCCAGCTTACCGCAAGTGCCAGCACACGGACGTGTTCTGCAACGCCCCCACCGGAGCCGCCCCCGCGGAGGGCGCCCGCCTCGCCGGTCCCTGTGTGCCGAAGGAGAAGCGCTGCGACGGCTACTTGGACTGTCGCACCGGGCGGGACGAGGACGGCTGCAGCGGCGTGTCCTGTCGCCTGGACCAGTTCCGCTGTGCCAACGGACACAAGTGCATCGACGCCGCTCTGAAGTGCAACCATCGCGACGACTGTGGCGACAACTCCGACGAACAGGGATGCAGTAAGTACACCCAAGGGGACATGACTCTCCCATTAAAATTAGGAAAATCAAATCTGATGGAGCTTGAGAGAGGTTTTTACAATTGCATACAGTTTAGCAGTTATCATTCAGACTTAAAACATTATTTTGTTATACAGAAGCAAACAATTTCATTGACTGTAGAATCCGCTAAAAATAATATAAGTTCAAACTAAGCTATAAAGATAGAACATCTATTTTAAAAGCGGATAATTTGATTGACTGAAGAATTCGCGAAGAAAAAATATATGTTGCCGATAAAAATACAACTGTACTAGTTAGCTAGTTATCTCTTTTTGTTCTCTAATGAAACATTTCACCATGTCCTCTTCAGATTTCCCGCCCTGCCACCACGCCCAGTTCCGGTGCTCGAACGCCCGGTGCATCCCGTACAACTTCCACTGCGACGGATACCATGACTGCGCCGACAAGAGCGACGAGGCCAACTGCACGGCCATCGCATGTCCGGATAACAAGCACCTGTGCCCGCGAGGTGGCGCTAGCGGCACTCCCAAGTGCATCCTGAAGTCGCAGCTGTGCGACGGCAAGCGGGACTGCGAGGATGGGAGCGACGAGGAGACCAACTGCTGTGAGTATCCCCCAGGGATTCCTTCCCTACATACAACCTATATTCAATGGAAACCGAATACTATCGGGAAATTTTAAAATGCTTTGTATCTGGAAACGGAGATCGGTAAAAATCGTTTAAATTTGATATTTAGAATGGGGACGAGGTCCTCTTATGTCTCTAAAAAATGTGATACTAGTGATACGGCTATATTTTGTTGTTACCATTAGAACCCCATCCTATTATATGTTCGCCTTCCCATTCCAGCGATTGCCTCCTGTCCCGCCCTGAGCTGCGAGTTCAAGTGCGGACCCTCGCTGACGGGGGGTGTGTGCTACTGCAAGCCGGGTCAATCCCTGGCCCCGGACAACCGCACCTGCGTGGACCTCGACGAGTGCGCCGAGTGGGGTCACTGCGACCAGCTGTGCACAAACACCCTTGGCTCGTACACCTGTCAGTGTGCCCAGGGCTACACTCTGATCAACGACTCCAAGTGCATTGCCCCGGATGCGAACAACCTGCAGCTGATCTTCGCCCACGATCGGGCCATCATGCGAATGCAGCCCCATGGAAGTGAGCTGAAGGTACTGGCCAATGCCACCGCGGCGGCGGGTGTGACTTTCCACTACGCGCGGAACACGCTCTACTGGTCGGACATCAAGACACGGAAGGTGCAATCCCTGCCCCTGGATGACCAGAACAAGGCCGTCTCGCCTTTCGATCAGACGCTTCCGGGCACCTGGGCTCCGGTCGCCCTGGCCGTCGACTGGGTGGGCGATAAGATATATGTGGCCGATCTGGTGGGCCAGAAGATCGATGTCTTTGAGCTGAGTGGCCAATGGCATGCGGTCGTCCTTGGCTCCAACCTGACCTCACCCGCCGACCTGGCCCTGGATCCCACGGCGGGTCTGATGTTCGTCGCCGATGGTGGTCAGGTGCTGCGTGCCCACATGGACGGAACCCATGCCCGGTCCATTGTCTCGGAGGCGGCCTACAAGGCCAGCGGCGTGACGGTGGACATTATCGGGAAGCGGGTCTTCTGGTGCGACTCCCTGCTGGACTACATCGAGTCGGTGGACTACGAGGGCGCCCATCGGGTGATGGTGCTCCGGGGCCAGCAGGTGCCGAGTCCCTCGCGATTGGCCCTTTTCGAGAACCGGATTTACTGGACGGATGCCACCAAGCAGGGCATCATGTCGGTGGACAAGTTTGAGGGACCCACCTCCATCCAAGTGACGCACAAGGCCAAGGACATCAGGGAGCCAAAGGGCATCATTGCCGTGCACGCTCTCAGCCAGCCGAGGGTATCGAATCCATGCGGGAACAACAACGGTGGCTGCAACCACATGTGCATCGTGACAGCGGTCAAGGGAGCTCCCACCGGCTTGGGATTCCGGTGTGCCTGCTCCACGGGCTACCAACTGGAGACGGATCTCAAGCTGTGCAAACCGGTCAGCGAGTTCCTCATGTACTCGCAGCAGAGATTCATCAAGGGAAAGGTCCTGGAGCCTGTCATCGAGGGATTCAGTGATGCCATCATGCCGGTCGTCTCACGGCGGGCCCGTTTCGTTGGCCTGGACTTTGATGCCCGCGACGAGTTCATCTACTACTCGGACGTTCTGCAGGATGTGATCTACAGGGTGCATCGCAATGGAACCGGCAGGGAGATCGTCTTGGCCTCCCAGAACGAAGGTGTCGAGGGACTGGCCGTCGATTGGGCCTCCAAGAATCTGTACTATATCGATTCCCGCAAGGGTACCTTGAACGTCCTATCCACGCGGAATGTCACTCATAGGAGAACACTGCTGAAGAACCTTAAACGTCCGCGGGCCATTGTGGTCCACCCCAATCGAGGATTCATCTTCTTTTCCGAATGGGATCGTCCTGCGAATATCACCAGAGCCAATACCGACGGCAGTGGTCTGTTGGTCTTCAAGAACGTGACCCTGGGCTGGCCAAACGGTCTGTCCATTGACTTCAAGGAGGATCGGGTCTACTGGTGCGACGCTCTATTGGATCACGTCCAGCACGCCAACTTGGATGGCACGGACATAAAGACGGTCAACTCCCGCCTGGTGCGACATCCCTTCTCCATTGTCATCCACAACGACTGGATGTACATCACGGACTGGCGCCTGGACGCCATTATCCGGCTGCACAAGCTCACCGGCGAGCAGGAGGAGATGATGGTCAGGGAGCCGCAAACGAACAGGCTCTACGGGGTCAAGGTGTACAGTCATGAGGTGCAGAGGATCGCGGATACGCAACCCTGTCACCGGAACAACGGTGGCTGCCAGAAGATCTGCTTCGCAGTTCCGATTGGAGGAACAAATGGTACGACCGGCGAGGTCACCACCACATCGCCGCCCTCCTTCGGTCGCCTGCAGTCCCGCTGCTCGTGTCCCTACGGCGAACGCCTGGCCGAGGATCAGATGAGCTGCATCCCCGATCCCAGTGCCGAACCCCCGGTGCAACCGTGCCCGAACTCCTGGGACTTCACTTGCAACAACCAGAGGTGCATTCCCAAGTCGTGGGTATGCGATGGCGACGATGACTGTTTGGACAACAGCGATGAGGAGCAGAACTGCACAAGTAAGTATTGGGACTAGTGTGGGAGCATAAGGTATCCTACAATTTCCTTAAAAATTTATGTAAAAAGCCTAAGAAGATGTTGACTCACGTAATTCCGATTTAACATATATATTATTTTCTTATAAAAAGTTACGGATACAAAAGAAACAAAAGTTGAATTCTTCAGAATGACGAATATTTTTTGATCAGTGAGCAATATTAATTTGACTGAGTGATAATGACAGTTTCTTTTTTTTATTAAGATACATTTTTTTTAGGAAATTAGATAAGAAATTAGACTCTCGATAATTGAAAATTTGCCTATGCTTAGGGGACATTTACTTATCCAAAGGAGCACCATCATTTCAATGACCCACCCCTTTCCCATCCACAGAACCCACCTGCGGATCCAACGAGTTCCAATGCCGATCTGGTAGGTGCATTCCCCAGAACTTCCGCTGCGACCAGGAGAACGACTGTGGCGACAACTCCGATGAGCAGGAGTGCGGCAACGTGACCTGCGGCACCTCCCAGTTTGCCTGTGCCAACGGACGCTGCATCCCGAACATGTGGAAGTGCGACAGCGAGAACGATTGCGGCGATAGCAGTGATGAGGGCGACTTCTGTGCCGAGAAGACCTGCGCCTACTTCCAGTTCACCTGCCCCAGGACGGGTCACTGCATTCCACAGAGTTGGGTTTGCGACGGCGACGACGATTGCTTCGACAAGCAGGACGAGAAGGACTGTCCCCCGATCTCCTGCCTGGCGAATCAGTTCAAGTGCGCCGATCTGCGGCAGTGTGTGGAGGAATCATACAAATGCGATGGCATACCGGACTGCAATGATGGCTCCGACGAGGTGGGCTGCCCCCCAATGGGACCCAATCAGTGCAATCTGGAGAAGCACTTCCGCTGCAAGTCCACCGGGTTCTGCATCCCAATCGCTTGGCACTGCGATGGCTCCAACGACTGCTCGGATCACTCGGATGAGCAGGACTGCGGCCAGATCACCTGTGCCCAGAACTTCTTCAAGTGCAACAACACGAACTGTGTGTTCAAGGCCTACATTTGCGATGGCAAGGACGATTGTGGGGACAACTCGGACGAGGGAGCCGAGCACGCCTGTGTCCCGCCGCCCTTCAAGTGTCCCCACGGCCAGTGGCAATGTCCCGGGGTCTCCGAGAGGTGTGTGAACATCACGTCCGTGTGCGACGACACCCCCGACTGTCCCAATGGCTCCGACGAGGGCGAAGGCTGCGACCTGGCCGAGTGCGAGCATCAGGCGGGTCAGTGCTCTAGCTTCTGCCAGAAGACCCCCAACGGAGCGCTGTGCGTCTGTCCACCCGGGTCGGAAATCGGCGAGGATGGCTACACCTGCATGGACACGAACGAATGCGATCCCCCCGGCCTGTGCTCCCAGCAGTGTACCAACACCAAGGGCTCCTACTTCTGCTCCTGCACGGATGGCTACATCCTGGAGCCGAATAAGCACACCTGCAAGGCGGTCAATCACACAGCCGCCTTCCTCATCATCTCCAACCGCCACTCGATTCTGGTGGCCGATCTCAAGGAGCAGGGACTCGAACGGGTGCCCATCATCGTGGAGAATGTGGTGGCCACCGCCTCGAACATGCACACGGGCACCATCTTTTGGAGCGACATGAAGCTGAAGAAGATCTCACGATTGGATCGCGGCATGGAGCCGCAGGAGATCATCAACACTGGCTTGGATCTAGTCGAGGGCCTGGCTTACGATTGGATAGCCCAGAATCTATATTGGCTTGACAGCAAGCTGAACACCATCGAAGTATCCGCAGAGAACGGCTCGAATCGCCTGGTATTGGTCAGGGAGAACATCACCCAGCCCAGGGGCATGTGCATCGATCCCAGTCCTGGGGCTCGGTGGATCTTCTGGACGGACTGGGGCGAGAACCCCAGGGTGGAGAGGATCGGCATGGATGGTACGATGAGGAAGACCATAATCAACACCAAGATCTATTGGCCCAATGGTCTGACCCTGGACATAGCCACGAAGAGGGTTTACTTTGCCGACTCCAAGCTGGACTTCATCGACTTTTGCTACTACAATGGAACCGGAAGACAGCAGGTCCTGGCTAGCAGTCACTACCTGCTGCATCCGCACTCGCTGTCTCTGTTTGAAGACACGCTCTACTGGACGGATCGGCAGCTGAATCGCGTCCTGTCCGCCAACAAGTTCCGTGGCAAGAACCAAACGGTGGTATCTCATCTGATCAGTCAGCCGCTGTCCATCCATGTGCATCATGCCTCCCTGCAGCCGATGACACCGAATCCCTGCGCCGGAGCACGCTGCCAGCACCTGTGCCTGCTGAGTCCCAGTGCCCAGGAAGGCTACTCCTGCAAGTGCAAGCCGGGCTTCAAGCTGCTCAGCGAGGGTCGTTGCATCGAGGAGGAGAATCCCTTCCTGATGGTCGTCAAGGGCACCCAGATAGTGGATCTACCCTTGAATGGAGGCGATGCCCGGGCCGGAGCCTTGGCCCCCGTGATTGGAATCGAGAGCAGTACAGGGCTGGACTTTGATCGCAAGGGAGAGACGCTGTACTGGGTGCAGGGCAGGGAGGACGATGACGAGAACTGCACCATCTACACCACACCCTATGGTGGTGGCAACAAAACCCTATTCCTGGGCACCGAAAGCGGCATCGTGGGTGCCCCCTATACCATCGCCTTCGACTGGCTGGGCAGGAATCTGTATATCGGCAACCGGGTGGCCAGCAACATTGAGGCCGTGCGAGTGGATGGCAAGCAGAAGTACCGCACCATAATCCTGGCCAACGATGGTTACCCCAACTCCGTTTCCCGGCCCAAGCAAATCGTGCTCGATCCCACCGACGGGAAGCTCTTCTGGATCGACGAGGGTGTGCTGGAGGTACCGATTAAGATCGGCAGGGTGGACATGAACGGACAGAACCCCATTGTGGTCTTCCAGGACTTTGCCCACCCCGAATCCCTGGCCGTAGACACGGAGAAGAAGATGCTGTACTACAGTGCCAGCAATCCGGCGGTGATCGGTTCCATGGACTACAATGGCGATGATCACACACTAATCGTGATGAAGGACTCGCACCCGATGGCCAAGCCCCGCAGCCTGGGCATCCTGGATCACAGGCTGTACTATCTGGATCCATTGTACGAGCGTATTGTGAGGATTGATCTGCCGCATGGCGATAATCCCAAAACCATCGTGGACAACGAATCCGATCTGCGGTCCATGATGATCTACAAGAAGCGCGCCCTGATGCAACATTCCTGCCAGACGAACAACGGTGGTTGCAAGCACCTCTGCATCCCCGGAGCTGGAGCGACAAGGACCTGTGCCTGCGGCATTGGTTATCGCAAGGAGAACGAGATCAACTGCGTGGCCTACAAGACTTTCGCCGTGGTCTCCCAGCTGGACATGATCAGGGGCTACAGTCTGAGCGACAGCTCTGAGGCCATGGTCCCGGTGAGCGGACCTGGCCATCACATTCTCCACGTGGATGTGATGTACCGCGAGCAATGGATATACTGGGCAGAATACAATCGTGGCTACTGGAACGGCATCTTCAGGTCGCGACCCAATGGCACCGATCTGCAGCATGTGGTCAAGGATGGCATCGGTAGCAATGGCATCCGCGGACTCACCATCGACTGGGTGGCCGGCAATATGTACTTCACCAATGTCTATCCCCACGAGAATTACGTGGAGGTCTGCTGGCTGGATGGCAGCAATAGAAAGGTGTTGGTCAAGACAACCACCGATGCTCCCCGTGAACTGGCCGTGAATCCCATCAAGAGGCTGCTCTACTGGATCGACTACGGCCAGCATCCGAGGATCGGAAAGGCCCTGCTGGACGGCAGCAAGTGGACCCCACTGGTGACGTCGGGTATCTCGTTGCCTCGCGATCTCACCATCGACATGCAGACGCACGACATCTACTGGGTAGACTCGAAGTTGGACACCATCCAGAAGATCTCGTTCAATGGCGTAAACCGCAAGGTGATCCGCCGTGATCTGCCCAATCCCATGGGCATCGCTGTCTACCTGAACGATGTCTACTGGGTGGACAGGAACCTGATGACGGTGTTCAAGGCCTCCAAGCACAGTGCCAATGAGACGGCCACCAGGGTGAGGACCAACCTGGAGAAGCTGCGCGACATTGCCATCTACAACATTAACAACCAGCCTCAGGACGACACCAATCCGTGTGCCCACTTGGGCAATGGCGGCTGTGATCAGTTGTGCTTTAGTTTCCCACCGGAGGGCGGCGCCACTGGTCCTTCGGGCAGGAACTTCCGTTGCGAATGCGCCACCGGAAAGCTGAGCTCTGATGAGCGCAAGTGCGAGGTGGTCAATGAGTACCTGGTATTCGCCACGAGAACAGAGATTCGTGCCGTCAACCTGGATCCCCATTCCACGGAGGTGCCCTTCACCCCGCTGACAAATCTCACGAATGTCGTGGGCCTGGACTTTGACTTTGCCGACAACCGAATGCTCTACACCCAGATCCGCCCGTGGGCCAAGATCGCCTACACCAAGGCGAACAAGCCGGGTCACGACGACATCACCGTGGTCCTCAACAAGGGCATCAACCCCGAGGGCATTGCCTACGATTGGACCCAGCAGAAGATCTACTGGACTGACAGTTCGAACAACTCGATTTATGCCATGAATCTCGATGGCAGCGAACTGGTGATGATTGCCCGCGTGGAGAGGCCCAGGGCCATTGTCCTGGATCCCTGCAATGGCACCTTGTTCTTCACGGACTGGGGCAGGTTTGGCACCTCTGGAAAGATATTCCGCACCACCATGGCTGGTTCTTTGAAGAGGGCCATCGTGGATAAGGATCTGTCGCAGCCAAGTGGCTTGGCCATCGACTACGACGAGAGGCGACTTTACTGGACGGATGCGGTGAGGGAGAAGATCGAGAGATCCGATCTGGATGGTCAGAATCGGGAGCTCCTGGTTGCGGCCACCATTTATCCCTTCGCCATTACGGTGTTCCGGAACTACATATACTGGACGGATCTGCAGCTGAGGGGAGTTTACCGGGCGGAGAAGCACACCGGAGCCAATATGGTGGAGATGGTGAAGCGCCTGGAAGATTCCCCGCGAGACATTCGCATCTACAGTGCCGATCGGCAGAAGTGCAATGTGAATCCCTGCCGGATCAACAACGGCGGCTGTGCCCAGAGCTGCCATCCGGCTCCAAATGGCAAGGCGGAGTGCAAGTGCGACGACAACACCAAGGTGGTCAACGAGGGCAGGATGTGTGCGCCCAGGAACAACACGTGCGAGGCCAGCAAGTTCTACTGCAAGAACGGCAGGTGCATCTCGAGGATGTGGTCCTGCGATGGCGATGACGACTGTGGCGACAATTCGGACGAGGATCCCAACTACTGTGCCTACCACTCCTGCTCGCCGAACGAGTTCCGCTGCAACAACGGACGCTGCATCTTCAAGTCCTGGAAGTGCGACCACGAAAACGACTGCAAGGATGGCTCCGACGAGCTGGGCTGCACCTATCCACCGTGCGTGGACGGTGAGTTTACCTGCGGCAATGGCAGGTGTATTCCCCAGGCCCAGGTGTGCAATGGGGTGAACGACTGCAAGGACAATGCCACATCGGATGAGACCCACGAACGGTGCCCCATGAACACCACCTGTCCGGCCAATCATCTCAAGTGCGAGAAGACCAACATCTGTGTGGAGCCCTATTGGTTGTGCGATGGGGATAACGATTGCGGCGACAACTCCGATGAGGATCCCCTGCACTGTGGCCAACGAACCTGTCCCACGAACAGCTTCCGCTGCCCGAACCACCGATGCATTCCGGCCACCTGGTACTGCGACGGGGATGATGACTGTGGTGATGGAGCTGATGAGCCCCCAGATTACTGCAAATCCGAGGGACGAACCTGCTTCGGGGATCTCTTCACCTGCGACAATGGCAACTGCATACCCAGGATCTACATCTGTGATGGAGACAACGACTGTCTGGACAACAGTGATGAGGATAACCGGCATCAGTGCAGTGAGTACTGGAGCTCCTAGCTTCACCCCCTCCCCCCTCCTTACATATTATATTTCATTGCTACCTTGCTCCCTAGATGACCGCAAGTGCGATGAGGAAACGGAGTTCACTTGCGTGGAGAACAAATCCTGGCAGCGTGCCCAGTGCATACCCAAGAAATGGATCTGCGATGGAGACCCAGACTGTGTGGATGGAGCCGACGAGAACACCACCCTGCACAACTGTGCCACCCAGCAACCATGCGGCGAGGACATGTTCACCTGCGGCAACGGACGTTGCATCAACAAGGTGAGTTTGAAACAAACAAATAACAAATAACATATTTGACTGAGATATAATGTTGATTCTTCAGGGATGGATTTGCGACCACGACAACGATTGCGGCGATGGCACCGACGAGGGCAAGTTCTGCAACTCCAAGTACAAGACCTGCTCGGCCCAGGAGTTCACCTGCCAGAACTTCAAGTGCATCCGGAACCAGTCGAGGTGCGATGGCGAGGACGACTGCGGCGATCACTCGGACGAGGTGGGCTGCGCCAAGGAGAACATCACCTGTCCGCAGGGACAGTTCGCCTGCACGAACGGCCAGTGCATCGACTACAGTCTGGTGTGCAACAAGTATCCCGACTGTGCCGACGAGTCCGACGAGCCGGCACATTGCAATGTGGACGAGTGCGCCAAGGTGGAGATCAATCAGTGTGGTCACAAGTGTGTGGATACGCTGACCGGCTACTACTGCGACTGCAATGAAGGATACAAGTGGGTTTTCACCTGGAATAGTTCATAAAATATTTGATTTAATCCATTCTTTCCATTTCACAGACTTCTGGGCGATGGCAAGGCGTGTGCGGATGTGGACGAGTGCCTGGAGCAGCCAGGAGCCTGCTCGCAGCACTGTTCCAACACCCCGGGTGGATTCTACTGCAAGTGTGATGAGACCTACTACGAGAGGCAGAACGACGAACACACCTGCAAGCGAAAAGACAAAATCCCGCCCTGGCTGATCTTCACCAACAAGTACTATGTGCGCAACATGTCGGTCGATGGACATCAGTACAACCTGATGCACCAGGACTTGATGAATGTGGTGGCCCTGGACTTTGATATCCGCGAAGAGTACATGTACTTCTGCGACGTGACGGCCAAGACGATCTTCCGGGCGAAGTACGGGCAGGCGGATGACGAGATGCCGCCAGAGAGGGAGGCTGTCATCAGGCACGATTCCCACGGCCTGGAGGGCATCGCTATCGATTGGGTCGGTCGAAAGCTCTACTGGCTGGACAGGCACTCCAAGAACCTGGATGTCTCCGAGCTGGATGGAACCAAGCGGAAGACTCTGAGAAGTGGCGTGGTCGATCCCCGTGCCATAGTGGTGCATCCTGGAATCGGTTATCTGTACTTCACCTCGTGGCATCTGCAGGCCTACATTGCCAAAATGGGCATGGATGGCTCGAACTTCTCGAGGATTCTGAACTGGAATGACGGCATCGCCTGGCCGAATGCCCTGTCCATTGACTACTTCACGGATCGCATTTACTGGGCCGATGCCCACTTGGACTACATAGCCTATGCCGATTTGGAGGGCAGACATCGTCACACAGTGCTCTCAGGCAGCAAGGTGCCCCATGTATTTGCCCTCAGTCTCTTCGACGACTATATCTACTGGAGTGACTGGAACCTAAAGGCGATTGTCAGGGCCAACAAGTTCCATGGTGCCAACTACACGGTGCTGAGGAACACCACCCATCGTCCCTACGATTTGCACATTAATCATCCGCTGAGACAATTGCCCTACACCAATCCTTGTGGCACAAACAATGGCGGCTGCTCCCATCTCTGCCTGATAGCTCCGCCCCCGGAGTCCACCTATCTTAACATCGAGGGCTATATCGAGGAGGGAGCTCCGATCTTCAAGTGTGCCTGTCCCAATCAATTCTATTTGGCCAGGGACATGAAGACCTGCGTTGCCAATTGTACGGCCGGGCAGCACTTGTGCGGCGGACGGGATGAGAAGTGCATACCTTGGTTCTGGAAGTGCGATGGCGAAAAGGACTGCAAGGACGGCTCCGATGAGCCAGCCACCTGTGCCCCTCGACACTGCAGGGCCGGCACGTTCCAGTGCAAGAACACAAACTGCACACCATCGGCGACAATTTGCGATGGAGTTGATGACTGCGGCGATCGCAGCGATGAACAGAATTGCGACCTGCCCTGTCCACTATCCGACTTTAAGTGCAAATCTAGCGGTAGGTGCATCCTGGACAGCTGGCGCTGTGATGGAGATGCCGACTGCAAGGATGGCAGCGACGAGGACCCCGCCGTGTGCTGTAAGTATCTCATAACACCTTAATAAGGCTTATAAATAGAACTAAAGATTCTACGAACCTTTTTTTGCTGTCATAAAATCGTGTCGAGCGCTCAGCATCGTAGAGTCGTATGAATAGTATCGTTGCATGTCTCGCTTCTTTGTGGCACCTAACGTGGGGCGGAGCGTGATACCCCCCTTAATTCTCTTCGTAGCAACTTATGTTTCGATTTGATTTTATAGTTTCCCAATCTTAATTCCATTTGGTATCTCTTTCATCTTCAGTCAAGCGCACCTGTGACCCCAAGACGGAGTTCGCCTGCAAGAATGGACGCTGCATTCCCCAACTGTGGATGTGCGATTTCGACAACGATTGCGGCGATGATTCCGATGAGCCAGCCTACATGTGCCGCCAGAGGAACTGCACCACCGGCTGGCAGAGGTGTCCTGGCCAATCCAACTACCGCTGCATACCGAAGTGGCTGTTCTGCGATGGCAAGGATGATTGCCGCGACAACAGTGACGAGCTGCCGGAGAACTGTCCCAAGTGCAATCCGGAAACGGACTTTAAGTGCGGCAACAACCGATGCATACCCAAGTGAGTGTGGTGTTGTTATTTTGATCCTTCTGAATACTGATTTTAATCTGAAACCCCCCTTCAGGCAATGGATGTGCGACTTCGCGGACGATTGTGGCGATGCCAGTGACGAGAACGAGGCGGTGTGCAAGGGTCGCTATAGGGAGTGCTCCGAATCGGAGTTCCGCTGCGGCAACGGCAAGTGCATCTCTTCCAGGTGGCAGTGCGACCACGAGGACGACTGCGGTGACAACTCGGACGAGATGCACTGCGAGGGCTATCAGTGCAAGAACGGTACGTTCCAGTGTGCTTCCGGCCACTGCATTGCCTCCTACTTCCGGTGCGACGGAGATCGCGACTGCCGCGACATGTCCGACGAAGTCGGATGTCCGCCGCGCTTCCCCGGCGGTCGCTACTGTCCGGAGTCGCGGTTCCAGTGCAACAACAACCTGTGCGTCTCCCTGTCCGACCTGTGCGACGGCACCGACGACTGCGGCGATGGCAGCGACGAAGACCCGAGCGTCTGTAGTGACTTCAATTGTGATACCCTGCGGCGGTTCCAGTGCTCCAATCACCGATGCGTGGCCCGCTACCAGATCTGCGACGGGGTGGACAACTGCGGTGATGGCAGCGACGAGAACAACATGACCCTCTGTGCCAGCAAACAGAAGCCCTGCGACCTGTACACCCAGTACCAGTGCGCCAACAAGCACTGCATTGAGCGCTCCCAGGTGTGCGACTTCTCCGACGACTGTGGCGATGCCAGCGATGAGCTGGGCTGCCACCACACCAGCAGCTGCTCGGAACAGAACCGCGGCGGGTGCCAGCACCACTGCCACAACCTCACCGATGGCGGCTACATCTGCACCTGCTATCCCGGCTACATCATAGCCGTCGACAACAAGAAGAAGTGCTCCGACGTGGACGAGTGCCTCACGCGGCAGCACACGTGCTCGCATCAGTGCCACAATCTCAACGGCACCTACTCTTGCAGCTGCCGCGAGGGATTCCACCTCACCGATGGTGCCAGCGGCGTCTGTCGGGCCGAAAAGGAGGACGTGATCCTGGTCTTCGCCAATGGCCAGGAGATCAGGGGCCTCGATCTCCAGAAGCGCGAGGAGTTCGATGTAATAGCGGCGGAGAAAAGGATCGAGGCGCTGGACTACGATGCCCAGCAGCAGATCATCTTCTGGGCCGACAGCTATGACAAGACCATCAAGCGATCCTACATGGTCAACGCCATCGATGGCCGGGCCAAGATCGGCTTCGCCCAGGATCTGAACATGAAGGGTGGGTCGAAACCCACGGCCGTGGCCGTCGACTGGCTGGCGTCGAATCTCTACTGGACCGAAATGGACAGAACGGGCTCCAAGCCCCGCGGTCGTGTGATGGTGGCCAAGACCGATGGTCGGTATCGCCGGTCGATAGTGAATGCTGGATTGGAGGTGCCAACCTCGATAGCCGTCAATCCGCAGCTGGGCAGGATCTACTGGTCGGATGCGGGCTCAGCGCCCAAGATCGAGGTCTCCTGGATGGATGGCTCCAAGCGTCGGCCACTGATCACCGAGCTGATCCGCCATCCGGCAGGCCTGACCATCGATTACTCGCAGGATCACATCATCTACTGGGTGGACACCAAGCTGAATGCCATTGAATCGATGCGGGCCGACGGCTCCAGGCGGAAGGCCATCGTGAAGGGTGACCAGCTGCGGCATCCGGTGTCCCTGGACCTCTTTGAGTCGAATATGTTCTGGATGACCCGCGACACCGGGGAGCTGGTGCGCCAGGATAAGTTCGGGCGCGGAGTGCAGGTGGTGCTGCATCGCAACCTCGTCAATCCGTCCGGCCTGAAGGTGTACCACGACAAGCGGTACAACACCTCGCTGCCCAATCCGTGCGACAACTCCACCTGCTCCCACCTGTGCCTCCTGGTGCCCGGCGGCCACCGGTGCGCTTGCCCAGACGCCTCCGGGCCGCCGCCCTCGCACCGCAGCACCGCCGAGGTGATCTGCAACGCCGCCGCCGAGCATCCGCGTCCCGCTCCGCGGATCTGCCCGTGCCAGAATGGCGGCCTCTGCAAGGAGGACGCCCAGGGCGAGCTCATCTGCGACTGCCTCGCCGAGTTCCGCGGCGAGCACTGCGAGACGAGCACCACGGGTGCCTTCGGCCACGGTGGCGCCAACGTCACCGCCGTCGTGGTGCCCATCATGGTCATCCTCCTGGTGATGATGGCCGCCGCCGGCGCCTGGTACGTCATCCGGAAGCGACCCTTGTAAGTACCCAGATGTATCCCAGTTGGTTTAAATGTGAAAAATGTCGTGAAACTACTTTGGTTTCCCAGGTTTGGTTTATGGACTTGAAATACCTTCTTTCTTAATGTCTGAAAACCGAAATTTTAATTTTTAGAATTCTTTATACAATATCCTGATCTGAATTTTATTTTCCTCTCCCCTTCCAGCGGCAAATTGGCTCGCATGCCGGCGATGACCTCGTCGCAGAGCGTGACCTTCCGCCACGGGTCGAACGTGGAGTTCAGCGAGAGCGGCTTCCCAGGGGCATCCGCGCCGGGAGCCGGCGACGTGGCGCCCATCGAGGGCTACAACCTGCAGACGGTGAACGCGAACAAGGCGCGCGACTTTGCCAATCCGATGTACGATGCGGTGCAGTCGGGCACCACCGCCGATCCCGGCATGGGCAACGGTTCGGGTGAGTCCATGTCTTTTAATAACTTGAATACATTTATATTCTTAAGAATGGGCGAAAATCGGTCAAAAACTAAAGATTTCGTGTTTGAATGCCAATCGATTGGTAATTTAATTACGAGCTCAACGAGGTATGACATTCCCGATTCCGACTTTAATTCGCAAAATGATTTTTAAAAAACCTAGTTTGTGTGGGTCAAAAAATAGGTAGAAGGATTTCAGACAAAAAAACCATTATTTTTTGCAGTTTTTCATTCGTAACTTGGTCAAAACGAGGCGCACAGCTAAAAGACTAACTGTTTTGAGCAGCTAGCAACCTAGGCTTCCGATCCCCATCACATTCCGGGAAATTTATTTTTTGACTAAATTTCACATTTTTCATAAGGGGTAACATCGTCTATTTTTGCGAAAACCGGTCAAAAATTAAAGTTTCCGGGTTTGATTGCCAATCGATTGGGAATTTAATTACGAGCTCAACGAGGTATGGCATTCACTATTCCGACCTTATTTTGCAAAATTATTGCCAAAATTCCTTGGTTTTTTGTGTCGGAAAAGGGGTAGTACGGTTTCAGACCAAAATAGCCCCATTTTTATGAGGTTTTTCAAACGTAACTTGGTCAGAACGAGGCGCACAGCTAAAAGACTAACTGTTTTGAGCAGCTAGCAACCTAGGCTTCCGATCCCCATCACATTCCGGGAAATTTATTTTTTCACAAAATTTCACATTTTTTATAAGGGGTAACATCGTCTATTTTTGCGAAAATCGGTCAAAAATTAAAGTTTTCGGATTTGAATGCCAATCGATTGGGAATTTAATTACGAGCTCAACGAGGTATGACATTCTCGATTCCGACTTTAGTTCGCGAAATGATTGCCAAAAAACCTAGTTTGTTTGGGTCAAAAAATAGGTAGAAGGATTTCAGACAAAAATACCATTATTTTGTGCAGTTTTTCAGTCGTAAAGTATGTAACAGTTTTCGGCCCTTTTGGTATATATATTCTTCATCAGGATCATTAGCCACTAAGTCGGGTAACTATAAGATGTAGATTCTAGAGATTCTTGCGCAGCGCAAGGTCGACGACTATACCGTTCTTCATTGTTTAATTGTATTATCCTATACGCTAATACCTAATACTAAATAAAATTTTAAATATATGAATGATCGCTAATCCAGGATTTTTTCCCTTCTCCCCAGGCATCTACGATGTGCCGGGCGAGCCGTCGGCCAAGGGCAAGTCCATGGGCCACCATGCGGGCGGCTCCTTCACGGAGCCCGCCTCGGCGATCATCGCGCCCAGCAGCATCACGCACAAGGCGTCGCCGCAGCTGCAGCTGCGCACCAGGGAGCTGGACCCCTCGGCGGACACCGGCAAGGACACCCAGTTCCTGGTGGAGGAGGACAAGTCCGAGTGCTGATATCAAGCCCGTCAATCGGCTGCCGTTGCGATGGCCAGCTGTCGCCAGCAGCGCCGGCAGCATCGTCCGGAGAACAGCTACCCGCTGCAGACATAACACAGACTGGTCATGGAGAGGAAGGAGCAGCAGCAGGAGCAACATCATCTGCAGGGCCAGGGACGCTCTAGTAGTAAACATCACAAATCCTGGCAGGTAGCCACCGCTGGCAAGGTCACCACCAAGGTCTAGCCTTGACCCCAAACGAAAAAACCACACACCACCAACCACAGAGAGCAGCAGGATGATCAGGAGGATTAGGAGGAGCAGGTCCTCGGGGGCAGGGGACGGCAATAAACATATCCAAAAAAACAGAAACATATGCAACCCCCCACAAGAAAAAAGAAAACCAACTAAAAAACTGTTGCAATTATTATTAAATAATTACTAAAAACAAAAACTATAAGTGTACACAAAACAAAAAACACTATGAGCCACACACAGAAACTTTTGTAAAGCCAATTTTTGTAGCCTACTGTTTTTTTTTTTTGTATTTTTGTGTGAAACTAATGTGTTTTTTTGCTAATCGAGATACTTTTGCGCAAAAGGAGAATTGTAAAAAGCAAGCAAAAACGATAAACGAAACAAAATTAAGGCAAAAAGTATATTTTTTTGAAAGCTAAATGACAATATTAACTATATATGTATGTAAATCGGAAAACAAAATATCTATATGTATACACAAGGCAATTAGGGGACAATTCCCAGCTAGGATTTCTATATATTTTTCTAAAAAAACGTAACAAACAAAAAAAAGCGAGCTAAAAACTATACAACAAATGATATATATACTATATATATGTGTGAAACTAAATGTAACAAGCGAAAGAGAACACTTTTGTGCTAAAAACCAGGATAGAAATCAAGCATTCCCCACACATGCATACATATGTATATCTACTTATGATAATTATAATTTAATTATTTATTCAAACACACACAGACAGGACACAGGAAAGTGCTAATGATCCACAATCCGGAATCCATGATAATAGGGGCTTTTCGAGACTCAAAATATTCGCAATACATTCCAAAAATTAAAAAACGTGCAATCCCCTCCCCCGCCAACACTGTGCAACAAAGAAAAGCGAAGCTTTTCCTTTCTACCTTTATATTTTGGTTCTCGCGCAAGCCAATCTGCTTTTCTATTTTTTTTTTCGTTTTGTGTGTGTAGTTGAAACTTGTCGCGCGTGTTTTTTACACATCAATATATATATATAAATATATAAATATTTTATTTTTTAATTATATCATCGATTTATGAATTGTATTATGATTTATGATTTATCTTTCTCGTCGAAAGTCGAAATGTGTGTGCATTTTTTTCATTTTCGTTCTCTGTGCAAAATCTGTGCTTCCCTTCATTTAAGCGTGTTTTTAGCATAAATTTTAGTGAAAGATGAAAGAAACTAAAGCTGTATACGCCAATCGGGCCATATACAACGCTATATGTGAAGTTAATTGTATATTTAATGTCAAGCTACATAATGGATAACGAAAAACAAAACCAGAACATAATAAGAGTAAAACTACGAATGAAATGAAAAAAACTATTTGTTGAAAGAATAAACCTTTTTTTTATTATTATACATACGGGGGGAAAATTGTAAGATGAAGAAAACTAAAACATTCAATAAAGAAAAATCATAAAAAATGTAAAAACACAAAGCGCACTTCGGTGGACATTTATAAGTGTCAGACTTCTATTGGTAAGTATAGGTACAAGGAAGGGTCTTATTGGTTACATTTTTAAATTCGCTTAATCTTTAGTTCATTTCCGCATTTTTTCATTTTTCAAAATGAGCCAGCAAGTGACGCTATCTTGACAAATGAGCACTTTTCAAAATGAGCCAGAAAGTGACGCTCTCTTGATTGTTGTTGTTGTTGTTGTTTATTTTCCTAACTGTAAATTTTCAAAATGAGCCAGAAAGTGGCGTTATCTTGACTCTGCTCAGTTATATGCTTTTGGAAATGAGCCAGATGGTGACGCTATCTTGACAACTCTTTACAATTTTACACTGAAAAAAATTATTTCTAAAACTATAAAACACCAAGTAAAAAAACCAAGCTAATCTTTTTGTTGAAAGAATAAACTCTTTTTTATTATTATACATACGGGGGGAAAGTCGTAAAATAAAGAAAATTAAAACATTCAATGAAGGAAAATCATGAAAAATGTATAAACACAAAGTGAAACTTCAGGTGACATTCATCATGTTCTTCGTGGCCAGCCGGCAGTTAGTGTCATATTTCTATTGGTAGGTGTACAAATATACTATAAAGAGGTTTACTGGTTAGGTTTTCGATTTCGCATTATCTTTGTGCATTTATATCTAGCGAGGGTTCGTTTTTATTTTCAATTTCATCTGGATTTGTTAAATCTTTTCGCAACCTGGAATCTACAACTATTCGCTTTTAAACGTTTCGATTCGAAGTCGGTTGCATTCACTGAATGCGTAGAAAAACGCTTAAAATCGACATGGTAAATCTGGTTGTGGATAAGTACAATACAAATCGTTTTCGAGCCAATTTCGTGAAAAAAATGTATTCTTATATTAGCACACCTATTTAGTCACTACTTTACGTCAAATCGAATAGAAATTGCAAGTTAAAAAGCTTTACATGATTTACAACATTCAGAGTGGCTGCTCCTACTTAACCCTCTCTTACATTATTACATATCCTTTCTAGGATCGTTTGCAATCGATTCGCGCGGTGTTCTAATAAATTAGTTGTTACATTTGAGCTTAACGCTATGGACCTATCGACCTGCAGCTGCCCCCGCCACGATGATGATTGAATGAGGCTTCAGGCGGAGGCAACTACCGGTCGTAAACAGTTAGAGTAGGAGAATTGCTTAAGTCTTGGGCTGAGGCAGATACTCTCGTCATCATCTTGGCGATTTCGATTTCGATCGCGACATCGACCTCCGTCGGTGCTGTCGGTGCTAATCTAACTTAACTAGGGCTCTTAGTTAGTTGCTGCTGCTGCTGTTGGCGCTGTGGCTGCGAATGTTTGGCTAGTCGCTTGTCTTCAGGCGCTTCACGGGCCCATCGCTGCCCTGCGAGTTCGAGTCCTCGGAGAAGGGCATACTCGACACGAAGTCGGCGCCCTGGCTGTCGGACACGACGGAGAAACCTGCGAAAAGACAGATGTTAGCATGGCTCTGATGGCTAAGGTCGTGAAAATCAACATGAATTAGACAGAGTAAACAAGATGAAATAAGACTGAACACAAAAACTAGGTGTTTTAACGCCTAAGACTAAGGAGCCTAAACTACATTTATAATGTGATGACGGTTTATACATTTCTTTTCCCCCTATTCCTGGAAATATTTGATACTGATTAGCATTAACCATAAACGTTTAAAACAATAATTGGATTAAATAGTTTAAATAAAATTGTATAAAGAACCGTATCCAATTCCTAGTAAAATGAGTGCACTTTGGTGAACCCAAAAGGTTTGTTACATACTACGAAGGGAGTTCTAGCCTGTAAAGTGATTGGCCTAAAAGGCCTAAAACTAAATGGTTTCGACCAAATCTTTGATTGTTAGATCATTTTGCTAACAGTAATGACAATGTCTTAATATCTTTTGGGAAAGGTGCGCCAGCCTATGTAATATATGCTCACAGGTGTTGGAGTCCTCGGCGGTGAGTCCCTGGTAGCTGGGCGTGATCTGAGGCGGCGTGGGCGTGCCCTTCTGCGAGTTCTCCTTGTCGCTCTTGCTGCCGCTGACGGGCGCCACTCCTGAGCCGGTGGGCGGTCGCCGGGCAGCGGTCGATCCCGGCGAGACCTCCAGCTTGGACTTCTTCTCGCTGGCGGAGGCGATGGGCACCCATTTGTAGATCTTCATGGTGGTGTCGCTGATGGTCACCCACTTCTTCTCCCAGTGGCGCACCTTGTCCACCGCCTGCATCACGCGCTTGATGTCATCCTTGGCCCGGCTGCGGGTTTCCGCCCGCACGCTGCGCGACATGTCCGTAGTTCGATGGGGCTGGCGCTGGCCTTTCCCGCTTTCCTCGCTTTTCCTCTGCCCAAGTCGGCGTCTCGCGAAAAGCCGCTAAGTGTTTTCCGCGACTTCCGGCTGATTTACACTGGCGCCCTTGTTTCCGGGCCTTTGGGGTGGTGCCTAATACTGCCGTCTGCGGTTTCGGTGGTCTTCCAGCCCTTTGGTCAACAAGTATTGGTGATTATATGCCAAATTTGCAAAAGATTATTATTACAACAAAATAAAATGCAATCGATATTTGGAGGCGTGATGTTAGTGGTGGCGGAAAATCGATGTTTCTTAAGCATTATCATAAAACATCGATACTCGCTTACAATATCGATATATTTATCCTTCGCACATCCATTCACGTATCTGTCGCCGTTCTTCCACCACTAATTTAAATTTAAATCTTTACGGTCTGTGTCTCCTTTTAACAGAAATGTTAAGAAACAAAAAAAAAAAAATGATCGAAATACACTTATGTAGATTAGGAGGATTTGTGTGTTTTTAGCTAAGAACCACGAAGAACATTTAGCTAAACATGGCTTAGAATAATTGCTATAGTGCGACAGCTCTTCTATTTTTGAAAGTTGTATTGTAGTTTTCTTTATTGTATGCTTGAAAACATATTAAAAATTCATGAAATAGTTATATCGCATTCTAATTTCTTAGAAAATTCAAAATAACTATCGAAATATCGCTTCAATTTTGCTATCATTTCTGTTAACAGATGTTAGTGATGTGGCTCAAACATCGATGGCCGGCACGGAATACCGATGTTTTCCGATACCCAAGACCATCGATATCTCCTCCGATGTTTCCACGGAAGCATCGATGTTCCCATCGACGATCTCCCACCTCTAGTCTGCGACCGACCCGACAAAATTATGCGTACGCTCCGCTTTTTTTTTATTTATTTTTTCGTAATCCGAACGCCCTGCCGCCCATTGAAATGAAATGAAAAATCGCACAAGACCGGAAAAGTGCCAAGTTAAATGTTCGCAGTGTGCTGTGCGTGCGAATGGGAGCGATAATTAAAAAATGAAATCGCAGGCGACGCCGAAATAAAAAACAAAAAAACGTTGCAGCAACAACGTGCGTGCGTGTGTGCGAGTGTGTGTGTGTTGGTATATGTGAAGAGCAAGGAGAGCGAGTGAGAGGGCAATAGGAGGCAGAAGAGGAAGAAGCAGTGGAAAAGAGAACGAAGAAAGGTGGGGAAAACGAAAAGGCGAACGAAAAACGCACACGAAAATGAAAACTGTTGTATGAAAAAGCAGGGAAAGTCAACGATCTTTTTCGCCAAATTTACCTTTTTGGCTGGATATCAATATCACAAAATGTGTGCGTAAGCTAATACCGATACTAACACTAATACTAACAGCCAGATCGAGAGGATTTTTGCGAAAAACTGAAAACAAGAATCGCTCTCCTTTCCGAGAGAGAGAGAGAGAAAAAGGAGAGAGAAACGCAAACAAATTGGAATAAATTATAGAATTTAAAACAAAGTAAACAACTCAAATGGCAGGAATTTAAAGACAAAGTAAACAACGCAAGGGAATGGTATAAAATGTTCCGAAATTTTGAGCATTTCAAATTATTTTATTCAAAGTGATGGGCTATAAAATTAGTAAAAAAAAAAATAGATTGATCAGGGAACATTTGTTTTAGTACGTTTCGTTTTCAATTTTTTAATTTCTGAAGTCTTTAAAAAATAGTACAATATTATAATACAATAGCTTTCTATAGTAAAGACATGTTTTAAAATGGGAAAGTACGTTTTTTAGTATATATAGGCCTCTATCTGTTCTAATTCGTTGTGAAAAATCTCATTTTCTAAATTCTAATTGATCGAAATATGGGCGAGATAAATTAAAATAAATTGGTATGATTTCTTTCAGGTAATTTCTTTTATGAAATGCGAGTGTGCCTGCATGTTTTCATCAAATCGAAAATGTGACAGTTAATCTATTTTTTTTGAGTGCAAATCAAGTGATGATTCTTTTAATGTGTGCCTAAGCTGGTTAATTAAATTTTACTTTTGAAAATCCGAAAATAGCAGCCGCTTCAAAAGCCAGAACTTTGATAAGTCGAAGCTGAATTTTCCCCGATTTTCCCGATTTTCCGTTTCCCGCGAATCTGCAAGCCGCGCTGCCGGCGTCGCTGCCGCTGCCGACGTCGCCGATCCCGTTTCACGCGTCGCCGCTTCGTCTCGCCGTCTCGCTCGTTGCCCCCAACCCGCCACCCCCTCTCTCTCTGCCCCGCCCCCTCCTCCCCGCTAAACACAAAAAAAACACACAGAGAGGGAGAGAGAGAAAGCCAAGCCAAGCCAGGCCAAGAAACGTCATCAAGCGGCAACAACAACAAAAACATCAGCGGCGGCAACAACAGCACCAACAACAACAACCAAACGCATTTCATTGCCAAGAGGAAAAACGGTCAACGACATTGCAACAACAAGAGGAGAAACAGCATTGCAACATTATTGGCCAAGAGCAACAACAACAAAACAGCAATAAACGAGAGACTGCAACAACATCAACATCAACAACTGTAACAACAACAACAACAAGCGTACCAACAAATAGGAAAATGCCCAAATGCGATGTGAAAACGCGCTACATTCCTGCGACTTTCGCCTGGATGGTACTGCTTTTGACCACATGTCTCTTCTTCTTCTATCCGTAAGTTGACTTTCACCCCAAATCAATTTAAAATAATTGAGAAGCATTTTGAACATGATCATAGACTATCTAAATACACCTATCTATAAATTTCTATATCATTTTGCTAGGTCTTATATATTTTAAGTACAGTTGTGCTCAGAAAAATTAGAGTGGAGCCAAGTAAATTGTTTAAAAACAAGATATGTACCTTAAAATTAACGTGTTGCACTATAATTTGGATTGTATTTCAAAATATCCTGGGACCGTAATTAATCAATAATGGTAATTCTTATTTTATCGCCTACTAAAATTTTATTGTATTTTTTAGTTGTTTTATTTATAAATGTGTCACGTTGTAGTTTTTTTTTAATAATAAAACCCACAAATATCAGGATGTCGGAGAGATATTCAAAAATCCCTAAACATTTGGTTTGAAAATCAACCAATAAATCCATCGATGTCACAGAATTTATAGTTTTGTGTGTGTTTCGGGGTAAATTTGATCTAAGTTTAGAAGCTTTACGGATTTGCTTTTAGGGAAACACCCAGTTCTTGGTTCTAATCCCTGATAATAATTTCTTTCGGTCTTAAATATAACATAGTGTTTGGGAATAGAGCTTGAATTATATATAGTAATTTTTACTAATCAACAGACAAGTTTTTAGTTTTGAAACAAATATCCTTATGTTGAATTTCAAAAATCCCCATGGGTTCTTGGTTCTTTGACACCCTTGAAAATGATATTCAGAACCTCAAAATTGCATAGTAGTTGGGAGTGGATCTTGAATTGCATTTAGTATTTTTATTATTCAAGACACAAGTTTTTTAGTTTTGAGAAGAATACCCGTCAGTTTGAATTAATCCCTTTTTATTATTCAAGAGACAAACTGTCACTTTGAATTTCAAAAATCCCCAATCCTCCATTGTTATAGATTCTATAATATAGAACTGCAGAACTAGAGCAATCTGTAAGTGGAACTACTTGCATGTGTAGTTTGTAGTTTGTGTTGAGTTCGCGAGAAGTTCATGAATATTGGATGGGCCTAAGGCAATATTTACTGTAGCCCCACACGCGCACTTTCGGAGTGGAGTAGTGTAATCCAAGACGACCCTTCGGCCTTCGTCTGCCGCCCACTCGCCCACTCCCCCACTTTGCCACCCACCACCCACATCTTTTGTAGTTTGTAGTTTCGTTGCTGGCACTTTATTTATTTTGCTCGCATTTTCGTGGATTATAACGACGGGCCGTAATGCATTATTATATGTGGGACAGCAGCTCGTTTTTATCCAGTCTGGCCCCCATTTCCCCCTCGATTTTCCTTGTCTTAGTCATCTTTCAGTCGCCATTTTCCCGCCCGCATCCCCCTTTTTGGCACTCAATTTGCAGTTGCTCTGTTCGGTTTTTTTTTATTCTTTTCCATTTTTTTCCGCAAATTGTTTTCATGTATTTTGGTCGTAAAAAGAATTTTAGTTTTCAAAATGCCGGGGGAGAAATGTATCGAGAAAATCGCCTGTGCCATGAATAATTACAGACAAATATAATTGGTTCTTTACGATAGCCATAAAATGTAGATTGATAATATTATTTGGATGTTGATTTATTATTTTTTAGATTTTAGATAGTAAAACAGAAATTATTAGTAAATTTCTTAATTCATTTTCTGCTTTATAAGAGCAAAAGCTAAGATGTTCATTAATTTTAAAGTGAGTTATTTGACAGACAGCCAGCCACATCGTGATATCTCACATGGTATAAACACTTTTGTTTTTTTTGGAGGCGACGAGAAGGCCAAGGGAGCAACAAATTTGCATAGCATGTGCACAATTAGCACATGAAACGAAACCAAAATAGCAATTAAGCAGTCAGTTTCAGACCCCCGAACACCTTCTCTGTGTCCGCCCAAATCCCCCCCTCCCATTCTAAACCGAACAATTTTCCCCAGATTTTCCTCTCGATTTTCCAGTTGCGTCCGTTTAATGACGAATTCTTGTGGTCAATTGCAGCTGCAATTGCCACGCTTGACATTTGCTCGTTTTTCATTAAATCCGAACCATTTTTCGAGCATTGTCAGATGGACTTTTAGGTTCTCATCTATCTTCACCTATTGTAAGTTCGAGTCCTTACCTCATTTTCCAGCACACGGAAAAAAAGCAATCGATTCCCTTGATTGTTCTTAAGATTCTACAATTTTCATATGATGTGATATGATTTTTTGAACTAAGCATATGATATAATAATAAAATCTCTAGTTAAGCAGGTATAATATTTTAATGTTACATGTAGAGCTATGATGTGAAATATATTCAGCTTTTGAACGGAACAGATGATGTAATATCTAGGAAATATTATACAAAATCTACAATTAATTAGGTATATTATAATAATATTACATGAGGTGTTATAAATTGAATCATATTCAATTATAAAAACGAACCATACGATATAATACCTAAGAAATATATTAATTTTTTAATAAAATTATAATATTTTATTAATTATTTTAGTATTAGAAGTGTTGTGAATTGAGACCTTTTCAGTTCTTCAACAGAACAGAAAAATTATACAAATCTCCAATATTATTGCAGTACTATGTTTAGTGTTTCTCACTGTGCACTTTTCCTGTGCCTTTGTTCTTGTTGTGTCTTTTTCGGGTTTCCCTTTGTTACAGTTATCTATGCTGGTGCTGACTGGCTCTTTGTTTTAGTCTGGTGAGTAATTCACAGTCACAGGAGAAGGGCCACGCCCCTTGGCGCCCTTTTCCCCACACTTTTCCATTTCCACTTCCATGCCCATTTTCACTTGACTTTTGCGGCGACACTTGAGTTTTGCACTCTCCCCTGTTGCCTAGTTTGGGAATTTGTTTATTTAATTATGCCCTCCCTTTGTGCTTTGTTGTTATCTGGAGTTTTGGGCACGCGGCAGGCGTATTAAATATCGCCTAGGTTCAAAAACCAGCTTAGACCAGCCCCAGTACACTGAGAAAAATGGTGGGGCGGTGCAACAGATGGTGGGAATATGTAATGAAGCGAATCGAATGTGTTCCTTTGTTTCATTTATTTTATTTACATTTTTATGATGCTAGTACTCTTTAAAAAAGGCTAAATATGATGTAAATGCAATCTATTAACAAATGTTATAAAATAATTATAATTATTAACCATTTTCAATGTCTATTACATATTTTCTAGTAGCCCTAATCCCCGTCAGTTTGGATGAATTAAGGCTTATCATTTCCGCAGTGTACTTGTATAGTTTTCAGCTTTTGTTTGATTAGCCAGCAACGTCATCTGATATGGGGAGTGGTGTAGGAAACTCGGATAAGAAGGTTCGTTCGGGTCGGTTTGGCAAAAGTCCAATTACGGAATATATTTCATTATGGCTAGTTTTTCCCATTTCGCCTGCCCTCGCTTTTTATATACATATACCCACCATTTTTATGTATTTTATTTTCCCACTCAATGCCACAGGTTGCCTTTGTTACTATCACCGAAAAAAATACAAAACTACGCTTGACAAAACAAACCGAATCGGGGAATAAAAAGAAAATTAAGTAAAACATGGCAGGGCACAAAAATACAAAAAAAAAAAAACCGAGAACAAAACTGTTGCTACATAACAACCAAAAAAAAAACCGGAAAAAGGAAAGCAACAACGATAAAAACTACGGCAACACAAATGCGTCACAACAACAGAGTGGACAATAGTTTTAGCCACCCACGCAACCCCACTGGCAGCCCAGAACCACCCACCACCCACCTACACGCCCAGCACCACCCAACCACCACCCCTCATTGAAATTCTAGAAGCCGCACCACTCAGAGTGATGATTATTCCTCGCTGTTTCGCTTTTTCTGTTTGCGTTTGCGTTTGTTTTTGTCGTCAAGTTTTCAAGCCCCTATGCTCCCATATCATCCACCCCCCGTACCACCCATACCACCTATACCATCCACCCAATCCGCCCGTTTCACACATGGAACAATAGGATTTGTTGGATTTTTAACACCAATTATGTTTATATAAATTCATGAGATAAACAAATATGCCTCTTTTGATTGTGATTTCAAAGTGGCATTCCTCTAAGAAATTCGTATTTTATTCTCCAAACTTATTTTCCATCTCAAGGTTCTCGAAATAATATTATAATATCTCTAAGATCTCTGAAAAAAAAATTATTTTGTTCTCTAAATTTATCACCCATTTCAAAGTTCCTGAAAAAAATTGTACTACTTTCTTCTGATTTCAAAGTGGCATACCTCTAAACCAGTGGTCGGCAGCGGCCTATCTAGTGAGCATAGGGAAGTGTTCTGCCCATCCTCTGCTCGCTCACGTATAACGTACATGTTCGTGTGACTTCGGCATGGGTCTTCGGGTCATTTTTTTCTCAACTTCGGCTCGCTTTTTTGTTGCTGCGGCAGAGGATCTCAGTGCAAAGCAGAGAAACGTCTCGCTTCAGCACGCCGCGCGCAAACTTCGTGTTTGTTACACTCACACTAATGCAAGGCAAACTTGTGATGGTATGTGTGTGCCGACCACTGCTCTAAACAATTCTTATTTTGTTCTCTAAATTATCGTTCTTTTCAAAGTTTTTGAAAGAGTGCTTTTTTATTTTCTAAATAATCTTAAAAGAAGCGAATAATTTTAAAGCATGTAACTTTGGCTAATAAATCAAACAAGAAACTTACTAACTTCCCTAGCCATAGATTTGCCAAGTGCTAAACGATAAAGAAGAAACTAGATAATTATAGGAAAATGTCTGAAAAAATCCCGGGAAAGGGGCTGTCTTCGCCAAGTGAAAGTGACTTTATGTACACAATTTTCAAGTAATTAAATTTCCGTTTTGTTGCTCTGACAACTTTCATCAAAAGAAAATTTAGCAGGTGGCGGAAAATGCGAGAAAAGTGGAATAAAGGGGTGGAAAGCGGAAAGTAGAGAGGTTGAAGCGGACGCAGAGGAGATAAACTCAGTTTAGTCTTTCACAGAATATGTATTTGAATAAAAAATATATAGCCACAGGACA